CGAAGTAGAAGGAACAAAACAAAGAAATACTCGGAAAAATACAACCCTAGACAAAACTTCTGTCTCCTCTTCCACCAATGGAGGCTCATCAAGTGATGAAAATAATGCTCTGTTTCTTCTTGAAATTTCAAGTGCAGCTGGTTCTGGTCTTCCATCTAAAGCAGTCACTCCTCTACGGTTGAATTCATACAATGGGATGCCATGCTTAAGAGAACAACATTCAATAATGGAGAACGGTCCATTCCCTGTGACCTCTTTCCAGTGTCTGGAAATGTTAGGGGTACAACAAGCATATAACACAATGCTTGGAGAAGAATTCCTCTCGGAAGAGGAAATACGGGCTTTTCAGGTAGGCAATGAAGGCATGAGCTACACAGCAGGACAGAATGATTCACCACAGGGTATCATGCGTTCCATCACAATGAATGGAGAAGGAGATCTGAATACAGGCAGTAGTGTTCTTCGACGAGAAAGAAGGAGAACCAGAGGATCAAGGGATTCTTCTGGTAGACCTTTTCACAGGTCTATATCAGTTGGGTTAACCATGAAAGATTGGAACAAGCAAGATTTAGAAGGACTCAGTGATGGGCGTGTGGTAATGACAAGAAAACGAAACAATAGCAGTGGTTGTGAAGGTAAAAGATTAGCTTAATAAGACAGATTTATTGATGGGTGGGGCTAAAAAAAATTAGAAACAATTGAGACAAAATTAGAAACATAGCTGACAAAATAAATTGCTTTTTGGTCTTTAAAAAGCAGTAAAATAAGGAAACACATTAAGAAAAATAATGAAAGCATAAGCAAAAAAAATGCCACTTAGATCTGGTATGGTCTTGTTTCACTCTCTATGGAGGAAGATAAGGATATTTTGTGTATTAAACAGTTTTAGTTGAAACATACCTAGAATATCTAGAAAATGCCTAAAAAAGTTAGTAATTACAAAAATAAGGTGCTCATGTATTAATGTTATTGTTTATTTCTGAGGTAAAAATGAGATATTCATAAGACTTGAAAAAAATTCTAATGTTTTTAAGAATCTTGAACTAGAGGGAGCTTTTAATTTTCTAAATTCATTAAATATTAATTCGTTTTGTCATATTAATTGTAGAAATATTTCTTACTTGTCTTGCAGATGTATTATTAGGCTGGCAATTTAGTACTTATTTTTATTCATCATAGACTATTATGCTAAGTACTGTTTTAAATTTTAACAATTCAACATTTATTGGATTAACTTTATACATTTGTTTAGCTGTTGACATTCATTGTTTTCACAAACAACTTTCTAATTTTTATACAAACTGTAATAGTTTATTTACAGAAGATCTGTAATTAGTTCTGAAAATAAGATTTAATAAATATTTATTAAGAAAGTTTAACTTTGGATATTATATTACCACTGAAGCTAAAGTTTCGTAGTCATTAGTTTCAGCTGTTAATCTCAGTTATGTTTTTTAAAGTTTTCAGTTATTCTGACATGTTAATTCTAAACAAATGCACAGTACCTTTAGTATTACTTTCATTCAGTTTTGCACATTTCACATGGAAAATAAATATAGAATTAACTTGAGCTTTTCTTAAAATCAACTTTCAGAAGGGAGCTCTTCATTTTTGTGTCAGCCATCCAACACCTTGACAAAACTGATATCCATGGCAACAGAACGAGCTGGGGCAGTAATGGAATTTCCTTTACGGCGTCCAGTTATGATGTTCATTTTACAGCGACTAGATTTGGAGAGTCTACAACTGGCCATGAAACAAGCATTGAGAAAAGCTGCTTGTCGTGTCTTTGCTATGCAGGTTAATTGTTGGTTATTAATGTTGAACAGTTGATGGAAAGAGACATTTTCTTCACTTATAAGTAACGTATTACAATAAAGGTGAAACATTTGTTAATTATAACCCAGAAAACCATGGTGAATTTACAAAACTCACATCAACAAGATATTCTAAACTTGCATGTAAACTTCTTTGTAAAGCAATATCAGTTAGTAGTCAATCATTGTTTTTGAGTAAAATTTATGTTTTTTTCTTCTTCACTTAACTAATTCATTTTCTTTTAAACATCAAAAGTGTGTGCATTTGCACATCTGATGCACTTCACGAATGTTAGATACAGTTAATCTTTAAAAGTTTTGGTTTACACTATTGTATTGTGATTCATTCTTAAGTTTAGTGTGTTCACAAATATGACTTCACAAGATGGAAACTTATTGCCCCTGTTTATATTACAAGGGGAAAGATTTTTGTTGCTTATGTTGGCTATATATGCCAAGCTACTTGCAGGGAGGATAAGCACGGCAAATCAAGTAACAGACCTTAAGTTATTAATATGTGCAATTATGAACAGTGCCATTATTCTAATCTAACTTGCAGAGGACAAAGGAATACTCACTAAACTTTATATGTTAAAGAAGTGTGGAACATACACACACACAGGTTGCCAAGGGCTTTAAAAACAGAATTATGTATTTCTTTAAGAATATTCTGATATATTTGTTAAATGCTTATATTTCAAATGTAGTATAATATAATGTGTTTCTGATATTACTGTGTGCATTTGTTTTTGTAGCAGTCATAATCAAGTGCATATTTTATTTGTATTTGTGATTTAGAAATGACAACTGCTAAAATGTAATCATAGCAGTTTGAAAAGCAAATATAAGGTTGCCTAGGCTTCTCAAAATGGGTAAAGCTTTTGGATTCTGATGGGAAATGCCCAGAACCAAATTTTGTTTTACCTTGTTACTCTCAGGAAATTATTCCCTGTTTTTAGTCTTGGTCCTAGATGTATTTAATTACTACCTTGGAAAAATTTTATGGTATCTTTTCAGTTGGTTAAGAAGAAAGCTGTTGCTAAAATGTTTTTAATATTTTCATCAGATTTTCAGTAAAGCTGAGGTTTTCATTATAACTTTAGTGAATTTAATAGGTTATTTAAGAGGTCATAATACTTTTATTTTATTATTCTTTGAGTTGGTTAAATACATGTGCATGATATATAGCCGACTGTGTTATGTATAGGTGCAGTATAAAATGTTGTACATACATCCCCATAATACTACTGGGAAATGTTTTTTAACTGCTTTGGTATATCTATTTATGTTATTTGATATATTTTAGGGCTACATGAAATGTTATATCTGTAAATAATACAAATTGTTTGTTACTTGAACCTAACTAGCTGATCATTGCTCGATTATTTTTTGTTTGTGTATTTAACATTTAAAACAAGTATAGTAGCCAAATTTATGTTATTGTTGAAAAGAAGAATTTTCTTTGTTCAAAGACATTTGAAGTAGCAAAAATAGGCTTTCAGTGAAGTGTAGTTTGATATGAATATTACATACTTATTTAAAACTCCTTGTATGTACTACTGAAATGTTTTCTGTATGTTATCTAATTTTGTCTACAGAAAAATAAGTAATATCTCTTACAGATTTGGCCTTTACCTGTTACAGAATTTGTAAGAACTGTGTACTCTTCCTTTATTTTTACATCAGGCACTAAACTGGTTGCTACGAAGTGTGACCCAACCTACTTCTCTTCATGATGTTCTGTGGTGTTTTGTGGCAGCTCTTTCTCCTTCTCCACCTGATAGAAGTGAAGAAGAAGAGGGAGACCAAGAAATTGGAGAGAAAAAAGAGCATGACACTGTAAGAGTCCATTCTTTAATGTGATCGGTGTTTAAACTTTTAAGGAGCAGTGCATATCTTATGTGCATAATACATTAGTGTCTAGTTATGTCTGATTTGTGGAAGCTAGTTAAAAAAAGGAATATGAAAGAAGTGAAAGAGTGAATGCCATAAAAGAGTATCTTGTTAACTAATAATCGGTTCCAAAACGCTTTTAGTCTGAGGCCCCCTTGATGTGAATAAAAAAGTTTGAGGGCCCCCAACCTATAACTTTAGCATGGTGATTGAAAAATAATGACATCCCCTTTCGACATACTGTATCATTTAATTAATTCAACACAATTTTTATCGACTTATTGTTTATTTATAATTAATATTAATTTAGCGTCTTTGTTTTCGGCCCATTTTGTGGTGGCCCCCCTGAGGGACTGTAGCTCCCACTTTAGGAAACTGCACTAATTTACAATTCTAAGCATTATGAGGGAAATTATATATATTAAAACTGTGTGAATGTAAATACAAAAGACATTTCAGTATTTTACTTGTGATAGTAAATGTTGTTTTAAACCAATAAAGTTTTTGGAAGTGTCCTTGTTATGAAATTGTTAATATTGTGTGAAAGTTTCATGTTCAAAGTTTTGTCTGTTAAAACATTCATGAATCAAGTTGTTCTTTAAATTAATGGGTGAATTTATAAATTTTTTAATTACATATACTTTTTTTGTTTGTCTTAGCATAAAATTGAAATTATTCTAAAAGTAACAGAAAATCTCATTATTTAAAGTTGTTAATATGAACAGAACTTGCAGTCACACTGTAGTTCTTACTCATGAATACAGTGCCTTTCAAAAGTATTCACCCCCCACCCCCCCTGCACAGTTATAACATTTTGTTGCCACCTGAGCTTGCAATAATGAAACTTTCAAATGGGACTATATATTTAGAATCTATACAAACTGAGAAAGCTAACAAAATGCTGATATTCTGTAAGTAAGTTAGATTTTCATAGAAAATTAGAATATTCAACCCATTTGCTACGGCATCCTTAAATCAGCTCAGGTGCAAATGATTAGTTTGAAATGTAACAAAATTAGTGTAATGATCTCTGTCTGTGTGTAATCAAAGAGGTTTAGCTTGACTTCAGGGTAAATGCATTTGTTCAAGCCACATCTAACATAGTGATATGACAAACCAACCATGAAGACCAAGGTGTTTTC